TGTGTGTGTGTGTGTGTGTGTGAGTGTGTGTATGTATGTATGTGTGTGTGTGAGTGTGTGTGTGTGTGCGGGCGTGCGTGCGTGTGTGTGAGGCCTGGGTCTGGCATGTACTAGTTCGTGGCCTTGGTACAAAGTCTAATCCCTACTTTCACCTTTGAGCCTTTATTTCCTCACTTTTTCTTTTGCCTTTGGCGTCTCAATGAGTTTTTCTTACCTTGTTATATCACTTTCATTAAATGATAGGGTCCTTGACACACATAATAATATGCGTGGGTGACCTAGAAAAGGGTCTCCATGTGCAATTCTTTGAAAACTTTTGTAGTTTATTGCATAGCAGCATAGAATAGCCTTTCCTGGTGCTTCTGTTTTTAAATATTTCAGAAATCTCAAATAGTTTTTGAGATCATAATGTGGTCACGTTAGTGAGTGAGGAGTGTGCAACAACTTCTTTTGAGAAAAATGTTTAAAAAATCAACGCCATTTTGTGATATTACGTAATGGACCTGTATTTTAATTTAAAACTTTCAAAAACATACTTAGAAGAAGAATTGGCGTGAAATATTTCATGAGGATGGAGACAAATAATTGATGAGTTGATATCCTTACGAGTCTCAAATTACCAAAACAAGAAAAAAAGAAAGATTTTTCACTGTAAACCGAATTTTCTCTTTTAAAAAAGCCTGTGCTACATGAGGGCCCTTTTCCCGGTCACACACACACACACACACACACACACACACACACACACACACACACACACATGGTCACTTTTAAGGACAAGCGGGCTAACCCAGATTTCGGGGTTTCCAGAAATCTTGACCTACACCAAAAGTGGACATTGCCCTACCTATAGGAGAAGTTTGGTTTCATTGGTGCATATAATAATATATTTTGTTTAGTTATATATAGAAAAATCTCCTTGCCTTTCAAAGAAACTGAACAAGGGGCAAAAACTTTACTTTCGATTTTCTCAAAACAGCATTTTTCGGGATAACCCCCTTGTGCTTATAAGCGACCACATTATGTCTTCAAAATC